GGGATCCCCGGGTAGCTGCTACAGTGCAGACGAACGCCAGCAAGCGGGAGCATTCATAGATTGTTTCCTGACTCATTCATTTCCCGAACGAGGACCTCTGCAGTGCCCCATTAGAACGTTCCCCCCAATTAATCAGAACGTTCACACTTGCAACATAAGTGTGAAACAGCAACCTTTGCACTGGCACCATAATGTGGAACCGCAAGGGAAGTAATTAATGAATGCTCCCCTGGGTGGCTGCCCTGTCGTATAGATGAACACCAACCAAAAGGAGCATTAATACCCCGAAAGACGCTTCCCATCATGTTTTCGGCACCAGAGCTTTGCGAATGGAGAATGGTCGGGGAAGGTTCCCTGGATGGGATGCCTGAGGTTGGTGGGGACACCTTTGGGGCACTGGCTACTTTCGCTGGCTTTTCTGTGCCTGGGAGACAAAGGGACAGTTCCTTTTCCTAAGCCTTGGCTTCCAGACACAAAAGATTATGGGATGAAGACCCCTGTCTGTTGGGGTGAGAGACCCCTTGCATGTGTGGCGGGCTTTCTGTACCTGGGAAACAAAGGGACAACGACCCTGTGGCAAACCTAGCCACTTCTGGACACTAATAACTGGACAAATACTTTAATTTTGCTATGTTCTTCTTTGTCTGCAGAAGGGAGCATTTGTTTGCTAGCGGCACGAAAGCCGCGAGCATTCATATGGTAGTTTCACGAACAGTATTGAAATCCACTGTTCGTGAAACTAATAAAACTACCGAATAGGAGACCACACCAGGGGGTCATGTGTCTCTCATTAATGATAGCAACAATGTATCTGCAGTTAATGAATGGGTTTTGCGGGTGGCCGCCGTTCGTATGACGAACACGTGGCGGTGGCCATCTTTGCTCACGAAAGCCCAGCGGTGTTTGGTCATCGAGTGCCTGGAACTAAAATCGGCTACTCGACTTCACGAACACTGCTGGACTCCCAGGTCTTTCGTTTAATAATGTGCATTCGGTTAAATCAACCGTCATTCGTTAAATTAAGCTCCATGTCTAAGGTATAATATAATGTGTGTTCGTATGAACCTTCATTCGCATGGCTTTACTTTTCTAGTGAAGGGATCTGAGCGGTATTTCACCAGATGGTGCACTCAGATCTCAGCTATTCAATGAAGGGTCATTCGGCTAATTCAGAATAACATTGTATCAGTTATGTATTTTTATACTAAATGGTATATTTTGCTGTACCGAGAGATAATGTAATTAACAGTATACTCTTGCACAATTATCTCTCCAGTACAGCATTGCATGATGGGAAATAGCCGTGCAGGGTAAGTTTCCCACACAATCCACCAAAGGAAAACCCCTGCAATGTCAGTATGGAAACCCCTTGCATGGGGGCTTGTATAAATACTGTGACCGTGGAATAAAACCTCAGTTGACTCCCAAACTATGTTCTTAGGAATAAGAGATTATTACTACGCTACCTGTATTTTGCATGCTGTATCCTGACTATCAGCGGAGATATCGTGGATTAACCTACTACTTCGCTACAGACCCCCTTTTCCGTGCTTTGGCTTCCAGGGACAGAGGCTCGTGGGTTATGCCCCCTGGTGACTTGAGATGAAAACCCCTTGCATGGGGACATGCATAAAAGCCAAGTGTGGCTCAATAAAATTATGTTGGACCTCCAGAACTTTGTGTCTTCCAGTTACTGGGGGGAAGGAAATGGGTCTCTTTATATTTTAAGTAGTTCCTGAGTGGCTGAAGGGAGGGAATTAGCTGAGGTAACTGGTCGGGTTACCCGGGGTCTGCTACAGAAGATCTCTCATACACATAACTCAACTGCTACGTGGACACCTCTTGTCACACATCTTGGAGACACCTGACTTCATACAGTCCTTAGGCCTACCAGCAGAGCCTGTCCAGAAAAACCTGTGGTGGGGATACTCATTTCATGCAGCTCCCCTACTTAACACCTAAAGTGGCTTCTACAATATTAATGTTATGTTGATACTCATATTAATATTATAAATATTAATGTTCAGTTCTTTTTTTTTTTTTCAAAGCTTGAAAACTCAGATTTTTGGTGTCACCGTTATGTAACCTCCGGATATGATTTGCTACTGGTGTTGATGTATTTAGGTTGGTTACATTATTGACATGTTGCAATACGCGTCTCCTAAATTATATTGCACGTATTGGAGGCCGCAACTGCAAGTAATGATGTAAACTACTTGTGTAGAGCTACATTTGATAAAATCTTTAACAGGGTATATTTTTTGCATGTTTATACAAGTCACTGTTTTGGAGGGTTTCAAAAATTTGCAAGCTTTGCAGTGACCGCAACGAAATACACCCTCAGTTTCTGAAAGCCAGCTCTTGGGAGTTGGCAATGATTATAAATGACTGTTAACCAAAATATCCCCTTAAATTAGGGGTCTTCTCGCGGTGATACTAGGGAATTCTGTTAAGTTGTTAGCAATATCATCGTTGTGTTGTAAAATTGGCCAATGATCTGCAAAGATTTGTTTCACTGGATCCCAAAATTGTCCGTAAGTGCTCACACAATGTATAACCAGTTGTGTGGGTTGGGATCTAGTGGTTCTCAAACATGTGGGTCTATCCATTGATACACCCCTTTGGAATGCCCTCTTGACAGTGGCGTACATACCAGGGTCGCAGGGCCAGCCTCTTCTCCTGGGGCGCCCAGGAGCCGGCCACCTCAGGGCCCCCCGAGGCTGGCCCTGCTGACCCCAGCGGGCGGGCTGTTTGGGTGGCCGGCGTGCGAGGGAGCACTTTCCCCTCAGTGATTCCTCTTCCGCCCGCCCGCCCGCCCGCCCAGCAGCCCAGCAGCAGCACCACTGGACCCCAGGGAATCCCCCCAGCACCCCAAAAGGTAAGGAGGCTGGGGGGATTCAATTTAAAAAAAAAAAACATGTGTTAGTGTGTGGACCCCAGGGAATGTAAGGAGGCTGGGGGGATGTGTGTGTGTGTGTGTGTTAGTGTGTGTGTGTTAGTGTGTGTGTGTGTGTGTGTGTGTGTGTGTTAGTGTGTGTGTGTGTGTTAGTGTGTCTGTTATTGGGTGTGTCTGTTACTGAGTGTGTCTGATGTCTGTTAGTGAGTGTGTGTTTGTCAGTGAAAGTGTATGTTTTGTAAGTGAGTGTGTATGTATGTCTGTCGCTGAGTGTGTCTCTGTTAGTAAATGTGTGTGTCTGTTAGCTAGTGTGTATGCGTCTGTTCGGGAGAGTGTGTGTCTTCAGCATTTACCTTTCTCCAGCGGACTTCCTTGGCGCTGGGGATCCCGCCGCCTCTCAGCTCTGAATGCACATGCGCGGCAAGAGGCGCGCGCGCATTTAAACCGCCCATAGGAAAGCATTACTCAGTGCTTTCCTATGGACGTTCAGTGAGAATCACGGAATCTCCTCTAGCGGCTGTCAATTAATCCAGAGGCTGGATTAACCCTCAGTGAAACATAGCCGTTTCTCTGAAACAGCTATGTTTTCAGCTGCAGGGTTAAAACTAGAGGGACCTGGCACCCAGACCACTTCATTGAGCTGATGTGATCTGGGTGTCTGTAGTGGTCCTTTAGGTGTGTGTGCAGTATACCGCATTCGCGGGGTCGCAGCCCTGCAACCACGTGCCCGCCGCCATGTGTTGCGGCCCCGACCCGCGCTGAGTAAGCGTGCGGGGGGGGGGGGCCCACGGATCAATTTTTGCCCCGGGGCCCCATGGGTCATGTGTACGCCACTGCCTCTTGAGTACTCTGTTTGGATACCCTTGTGTCTTAAACCTTTGTCTTAATTAATTTGCCTATTTTTTGAATGATTCTTCACTTGAGCAGTTACGTCTTGCTCTCAAATATTGGCCATACGGGATGCCTACCTTTTAATTATAAGGGTGATGGCTTTGCCAATGCAAAAGGCTATTTGTTGAGGTGGCTTTTCTGAATAATTCAGTGGTGACCACACCATCCAGAGACAATTTGATTTTGAGATCTAGAAATTCAAGTTCTTTATCGTTTATCACGTGTGAAGGTGACAGACCTATCTTACTGTTGTTAAGACTTTGTACCAAGAGCTGGAACATATTGATGGAACAGAAGGAGTTGTATTAGATTTTGCAAATGTGAATGATCCTCAGGAGCAATACCCATTTATTTATATAGCCTCTGTTCTCTACGTTTATGTAACCCGCATAGTGCTAATTTACGCCCAAATAAATTTGTGTCTTTAAGCCAATCAAATTTATTTGCCGCTGGTGTGGGGACAAAGGACAAACCTTTATTCAGAAGGGAAATCTGATCAGTAGATAATACGAAATGTGACAAATTTATAATTCTAACAACAGAAGGACATCGTCAATGTACCTGTACCAGTAAAGGATGTATTCAGTAGCAACGATTTTGCTAAGAATAGTTTCTTCCCACCAACTCAAATACAAGTTGGCGTAGCTAGGGGCACAAGCTGTGCCCATAGCTGTTCCCGCTAATTTGCAAGTAGAATGCTCCATTAAATATGAAAAATTGTGTGTTAATATATACTGGAGCAATTTCACAATAAACTGCTTTTGGGTTGATGAGAATTTGTTAGACTTATTCAAAAAGTATGTAATTGCTTCTAGTCCTATTTCGTGAGGGATGTTGTTATAGAGGGAAACAACATCCAGGCTTGCTAAGGTCAACAAGGATCAAAAGAACGGAAAAGACACAGACGCCAACACAAGCCCACAAGGTTCTCACCCACTTGATTAGAACCTTGGAACCAACGGGACCAGCAAACCACACACACCAGAGGAACATGTGGGACCTAAAGGCAGGGAAACTGGACGATACAACCCCGAGACTCTGAAAATATACACACGATCAGTGACTAGAGAGCCCTGAGACCACACAGGACACACACGTTACAGACCCACGGACACCGCCAGATAGTCAAGGGACTACACGAAGAACATACTGCCCCTTCCGCCCACCCCCTGCATGAACAGCTGAGGACGGAGCGTGATCCCCCAGGTGCACAGCCGAAAAGACACCACACATGGGTGGACACTGACGACACGACCCTAGACACCTCGATACACACACACACGATCACCACGCAAAAACTGCCTACACCACGGCCTAAATCTATACCAAACGAAAGCTGAGTCAAGTCAGGCAAAGAAACACCAGTCCCCCTCAAAGCTACCTTGAAAAGATCGAACTTCAGCAACAGCAGCAAGAATAACAACACAGAGCGGATCAGTACGCTCACACTAGGCAGACCACAACACGGGAACACCAACTCACGGGAGTAGACAACGACAGGGGAATACACATTAGCAGCACATAGACAGGCCAAGTTAGGAGGGCAATTCAATTGTTAATATGAATCAATGCAATACATATTCATGATATACTTGAACACTGAGTTTGCTTTGAGACCTGCATGTCTCTCCCTCAATTGTTACTCAGGAGATCTGCGAATATCGACTGACTAATTGTAATACTGTTTACCTGAAACCTGCGCGTTTCTCCTCATTTCATCCTTTCTTTCAAAAAATTTGAAAAAAATCTCAATAAAAAGATATTTGCAAAAACAAGGATCAAAAGAGTCTGCTTTGTGTCTTGTATGTGGGAAGCAAGGGTGATAACAAATGGATCTAGTATGTTTTCAATTAATTTACTGGCATTTTCATTAAGGGACCCATTGCCAGAGACAATGGGTCTGCCAGGTGGATTCAGTGGGTTCTTGTAAATCTTCGGTAAGCAATAGAAGGTGGCGATAGTAGGTGTGTTATTTGGTAAAATTAATTTAGATTCTTCTCTTGTAATCGCACCAACCTCTATTGCTTCCGTTAGAATCAATCTAAGTTCCTCAAGAAATTTTCTTATGGGATCACTGTTTAGTTTGTAGTAAAATGCAATGCCCACCAAAGGTTCCATACACATTGAAACATAGTTTTCCCTGTTAAGAAGAACAATGTCCCCCCTTTATCTGATGATTTTATAATCAGACCCTAGTTAGTGCTCAGTTCTCTCAGTGCCCTTATATTCATTTGGTGATAGATTGTATTGCGTTATGGCAGGTACAGATAATTTCTTGATTTTATCACTGTTCATTTTAACAAATAAATCCACATTTGTAACTTCCTTGAAGCTGGGGGTAAACAAGCTGTAAGCTCTCAAATCTGTAAGAGGATGGGAATCCTTTTGTTCATAAAGGAGTTGTATTAGATTTTGCAAATGTGAATGATCCTCAGGAGCAATACCCATTTATTTATATAGCCTCTGTTCTCTACGTTTATGTAACCCGCATAGTGCTAATTTACGCCCAAATAAATTTGTGTCTTTAAGCCAATCAAATTTATTTGCCGCTGGTGTGGGGACAAAGGACAAACCTTTATTCAGAAGGGAAATCTGATCAGTAGATAATACGAAATGTGACAAATTTATAATTCTATTCTCCTGATTACTTTCATTGATTTTTATTATTTCCTGTCATTGAACATTTCTGGTTTGTAACCCCATCTCCTTCTGTCCCTTAGACGACCTCTCTGTGGGGTTGGCCGGTCCTAATCTAAAAAAGATTCCGATGTTATTGATGTGGTGGGGACATAAGGAGGTTGTCTATCAAGGAAGGAAACTGATTTATCCTGGCCCTTGAGTATGCCCCTCGTACCCTGTTTAGGGGGATGTGATGTGAACTGTGACTTGTTTCTTTTAGTTGTGTGACTTGAGTCTGAACCCGTCCAGGTGTTGCTAGTTCCCTGTTGATGTGGTTGAGACTGATAATTATTTTTGTGTGTAGTATAATGGAGTCTGAGTCTGTCCAATTTGTACCTGAGGTTGAACTTTGTCTATTATTAAAGTGGCCTTTAGGGCGTTTCTTTAACAGGAAAATATTCCCTTCCTTGAAATCTTTATAATCTTTTTGAAATTTATAATGCTTTTTTTCTTTAATTTGTTTATTGAAAACATCTAGATTTCTCTCTAATTTCATTTTCATTAATGTATGTATATTAATTTTATGTGTATTTATATGTTTTAATTTTTACTTAATTATGTGATTGTAATAATTAATTTTAGGGACCTGCCTGACAACCAAGTCAGATAGTCCAGATAATAAAACCTGTACATGGGGGTAGCTGTTCAGAGGACTTTGCTAAACACAAATCTGTGTGTTTCAAAACAGTTAAGGGTATCACGATGATGATATCCTGAGTGAAAATCCAGTCTGTGTGTGTGAATAATGCACAAAACAAATATTAACACTAACTTTGGCCAGGGTTGGCCAAGTGGCTACTAAAATAGACTGGACACACCCCATTTTGAATACCCTGGATTGTCTACTATTGCAAATTGTATGACAATAATGGGGTATTTCTCATTCCTGGGTTGCCATACATCTCAGAGGCAACATAGGCTCAGCAAACCAACCTGGTAGATTTCCATGTGTAAAAACTGAAATGGGGGAAATCTTAACCACATAAAACCTGTACATGGGGGTACAAATATGTGTATTTTAGTATAGCAGTATTATGATATTCACAGTTAAAATGCCATGCAGAAATGTCTTAATTTCTCAGAATTTTTTAAGATTTTATTCACTTTAAATTATGTTTAATTTATAAATATTTGATGTGAAATTACAGCCATACTGCTCCTAAACAAAATTATATATAATAAGTGTGGGTGCATTTAATATGAAAGAGGTCAATTATTGTTGAACAGACAAATAGCGCAAATTCTTGGTTTTGCTTTGATCAGAACTTGTACAATTGTCTCTGTCCTTGAGTGGTTAAAGTGCTCCTAAAAAAATAATAAAATGGCTGTTTATTCTACAAAATGCCTAAGTGTTGTTCTTGCATTTTCACCTATTGTGTTAATACATCAGTATTGCAACTAAACATGTCTCCAAGCAAGGTAACTACTGTTTGGCGTAGCCATCAGACCGTCTACTACTACCTGTGACCAGATTTTTGAAAAGCCTAGAGAAAGCAATGTAGTGTGCAGCCATAATTTTAAGATGTGCTTTTCTTACTTTTAGCTTCAAGTATTGTTCTTTAGCTTTCTGGCTGTACAGCTTCTGCATTTTCACTAAACTATAAAGATAATTTTATTGCTGCCACTGTTAACCACTAGGAAACCAGCTGGATGTATTGGGCATATCTAAAAAAGGGTTTATAACGCCATATCACATCTGGATAGAGTTGATATTTAGCATCCTATTTCAGGATGACTGCAGGGGTTGTAATATATCTTATAAAGTCCCTATGTGTTTTTAATCAAGAAATTAGATAATACGGCTTAAAGAAAAAAAAATTGGGTAACAAACAGTATTTTATTGCAATATATGCACTTTTGACAAGGTATATTACATTTATCCAATCAATACCTTTGCAACCAGGATTCAATTTAAAATATTTTTTTGGAACTACTAGAATTTCTGGCATTTTGCAACTAGAATGTCAACTCATTGCTTAGAAATGTGTGTTGATGTTATATGCAGGGTTAGTCATTAAATTGGAAATTGTGGAGAATTGACAAAGAATATGCAGATTTTAGATACAAGAGCTGAAATGAAAAAAATATTTAACTCTCTTTACTCTTTATAAAGTTTGTTACTATACATTTTGATTCTGTATAATTCTCAGTGTACTGAATGTGTAACCGTGGCTGTTTCCCTTATTTACAACTATAACGTCTTAAAGCATAGAACTTAGCAGGGCTAACCATACAGACATCTTAGCCATAGTTTTAAAAAGTTAGTAAGAGATCCTCTATTTAACATATAGAAATAATTGAGAATACAATATAAATAAGGATTGTCTTGGAAGCAATAAAGTTTTGTCTTTTTAGATATTTATTATATGAAAATATAAATATAGACATATAAAATCCATTACAATAATTTATAGTATATATGGAAAAAGTAACTTCTTTTATTCATTTTAGGACCTCCCTTAACTTGGCAAAAATACAAGGCCATAACTAAAGGGTGTACACATCATGGAAAATTCCCTGATTTAGGTCAAGATGGCATCTTAAAGTCTGAACATCTTTATCTATTTAGGGTTACCGCAGTATATTATGTACTGAAAGAGTTGTAGCATAGCCTTGAAGCTTGTTTATGCATTATTGTTATTTATTTTGTCTGGGACAAAATGGCGTAAACATATTATGCCCTGAAGGTAAGTAAGAGGTTATTGCTTAACGAAACATGTATGAAAACCAATATGTTTAATTTCTAGCACCTTGTCAGTTTGTAATATATCTTAAAGACAAAGTACACAGTTTGAGAAATACAATATTTGCCCATAACACCCTCACCCTTAAACTCTGGGTGTTGTAGAGCATTTCTTAAATTAGTAAACCAAAGTTCTCCAACAGTCTTTAGGTGTTTATGCTCCCAGTGTCTTTGATCATTGTTGTAATGGTAAAATATCCGTAGTGTGATCTTTGCATGTAAAGGTGGTTGATTACAATGAGCAAAGTTTTTGTCTGGGAAAGAATTGAAAAGAACATCAGGTTCCAGAGTAAGATATTCTTGGATGGATCCTGATAGGAATTGTAATCCAAACTTCAAAGTAGTAATTGTATTTGTAATCCAAAGTCTTTAAAGGCCTGGCATCTGCTCTTAGTAGGCCTGTCTTGTTATTATTTATTAATTGAATCAAGGTTTATTTTGTTAATGTGTTCATTATTACAGAATATGGTTCCAGTATGTTTTTTCACTCTAAGCTCTAAGTTCACTTTAAGCACAGGGCAATACATGATTCCAAGTTAGCCAATTTTAATATAGGACAACACTTGTGGGGCCTACAAGCTTGAGCCTTGGAATCAAGTTGCATTCCTTTACAGTCAATCAGGTATTCTCAGTACCATGTTCCATCTTGAGAAATAGCTGGGTGTTGACAGTTATCAGTCTTTATTTTTTTTTCCGGACATCTTCTGTCTGGATACATAATAGCAATGTCCAAAATTAGTGTAACGGAGCTCCCTGTACTCCGACCGAGTACCCTCCGTTGATGGATGCTCCTAGCGCTTCCTGAGGACTCCAAACACTGCAGCAGACACCACAACCACCGCAGACTCTACAACCGCCGTAGCTTAACTGGAGTCTCGCCATCTTCCTTCTGTAGAGCGAAGCAGGATCAGGAACCAGAGCTCTTACAAGAGCTCAGTAGCTAAGGGAGTATGAAGAGCATAGCAATCCCTGTAGTGATTATAGCTGTCCCCTACAAACATGAGTCAAGGCTGCAAGTAAGAGGGTCAAGTCATTCTGTTTATTGGCAGAATAGGTTTCCCTGAGATAGGACCACCCACAGGGTTTTACACAACAACCAATAATAAACGTACATTACAGAACCACTGCAAGCAATTACACACAAAAATCCTCCCCTCTGCCTGTGATATAATTATGTTGCACAATGATTTAACATAATTAACACAGGCAGTAAAAATGCAGTTTTTATACATGCACTATAACTTTAAAACTACACATCCAATCTTCATAAAAATTACATATTTGGAATCGGCACACTTTAAATATAAACATAACCAAAAATAAGACAAATCTCTCCAGGGGTTAAAAAGTTAGCTGGAGGTCCCTTTATGACTGACCGCAAGCACATTTTCATGCCCAAAACA